ACGTGCTTAAATGCTCAAATAACCCTACAGTACAAGCCTCACAAACGGGCCTCAAAATTGATCGTAACGATACTGACTGATATAAATGCCTGTAACAACAATATATCTATCAACAACAAACGGGGGGGTTGAATCACATCTTGTCTGGGGGGATGATTTCTACTGATTTTTTACTTTTTTACTGTTTTTGGTTTTTTCGGTTACTTTTTATGTTTTTTGTTTTTCTTGGGTACTATACTACTTTTTGTTTGGTTTTACTTCTATCTTTAAGTGTTTTTGGTCACCAACCACTCAGGGGACGAGGGGACGGCCGATCCCCCCACCCTTCCTGGTTCGTGAATTTTCGGTCTTAACTAGGTTAAAAAACTATTCACGGCAATTCGGAAGGCCTCCGCGTTCCGAACTACCCTTCCGCCCCGGCGGTTTAGGCCTATTAAGGGCGTTAATGTGAGCATCCGCTCGGCGCGGAGTGCTCGTTAACGGTTCTGCCGGTCATGATGTTAAAAAAGAATAACACCCAGGAGCGCCATAAAAACATACATGTAACATTCGCCAGGAAGATACATATCGACGGATAACAAAACTAAGTCTTAAGACGACTGGCTAGCGTCTAAACAGAGCTTTGCATGTTTTTCACCGTCTCTACCAAGCCAGTACTTTTCGGTGGTCTTTCTTACATCGGGTCGACAAAAACGTTACTGCTCTCCGGCTTCGACCAGAACGCTCAAATTAACTGAATTACATGCAAAAATAGTGAGCTCATGGCTGGGTCTCAGTATCCCCAGACCACGAGGTCACTCCTAAAAACAGGGCTACTACTTATTATATTACTATTGTTTTTGTTCAGTAGATAAAAATCATCATCTCCATCGAAGATGGATCAACCCTTTCCCCCAACTCCTAGCACCTCATCCTTGTCAAAACTAATCAAAATATCAGTTAAATTCAAGTCAGGACATGACAGGATGCTAAAAGTTATGTGAGTTAATAGAAGTTTCCGTCCCGAGACCCTTCCGGATTCTTGAATCCGCTGAATCAAGCTCCTTACTCTTGATTTCTTGCTAATCCGGAAGGCTGGTTCTCACCCTTCACCGTTGTTGGCAACGGCCTTGCAACTATTGTAGCAGCACAATAGTTGCAAGTCGGAACGTCCTCTGCTATTCTGTAGTTTGTTGTCGTTCTCCAATCTCGATTTTCGTACTGTTCGCAATCGCAGATAAAAGTTGTTCTGTTTTTCACTCGCTTTTTGTTAAAATGGCCGTTTCAGCATTTCTCAGAAATGTGACGTCATCATTCGAATTTTTGAAAATTTAAAATACTAGAATATTCTAGCCCTCACCGTTTGGCTAAACGTTCCAATAACGTCGCTAATCCTTCGAAATCATCAACTCGGAAGGCTTACTGCTCAAAATTCGAATCCTGCATAAATTGCATTTTGACCATTCTGGTCGAATGTCACACAAGTGGAACAAAATAAACGATCATGGGCTTAAAAAATGCAACAAAATGTTTTTCTTTCAAATAAGTGTCGTTTTCTTTCGACGTGGTGTGATAAAAGAAGCTAGTACAAACTACATCAGGGAGAAGAGTTTACTGTGCAAGTAGAACAAAACAATACGATCATGGGCTTAAAAATGCAACGAAATTTTTTTTTCAAATAAGTGTCGTTTTCTTTTGACATGGTGTGATAAAAGGCGCTGGTACAAACTACATCAGGGATAAGCGTTTACTTTGCAAGTAGAACAAAATAATACAATCATGGGCTTAAAAAATGCAGCAATTTTTTTTTTCAAATAGTGTCGTTTTCTTTCAACGTGGTGTGATAAAGGAGCTAGTACATACTACATCCGGGATAAACGTTTACTGTGTAACTAGAGCAAAATAATACGAACATAGGCTTAAAAATGCAACACACTTTTTTCAAATTAGTGTCGTCTTATTTCGACGTGGTGTCATAAAAAAAGCTGGTACAAACTACATCAGGGATAAACGTTTACTGTGTAACTAGAGCAAAATAATACGACCATAGGCTTAAAAATGCAACACATTTTTTTTCAGATTAGTGTCGTCTTCTTTTGACGTGGTGTGATAAAAGGAGCTGAACGAAAAATATAAGATGGATCTTTTTTGGCAGTAATGATGAGTGAATTGAAAAACATTTTTTATCAGAAAAAGACTAGAAAACGAAAAGAAAAAAAAAATTCAAATCTTTTTTCTGCATTTTTAAAAAACTTTCAAAGTTTTTGATTCCGAAAAAAATTTTAAAAACTCACAAAAATTAACGCCACTCGATAAAAATCTTCTTAGCTTTTAAGCCATTAAGAAAGCTATTGTTAGCCTGCTCGCTTGCTTTATTCACTCGAATTAAGGCTAAAAAACCAAAAATTTCGAAGAGATTTTTTAAAAAACGGCCAGAATTTTTTTGAAAACTTTTTATGTCTCTCAAATAACTTTCTTTACGTTCATCATTTGTATAAATGATTTTGCTGTTTTTTTTGTTTCTTCGATTTAGTTTTTCAAATTAAAAATTTTTTGGTCGTTTTTGAGTTTATTAGTTCATCTGTGATATTCTGGTCGTTTTTTTGGGTTGAACAGCTTCGATTAAAAATTACTTCAATTGAAGCTGAGTTTTTGTTGATTTTTGAGTTATGATCAACTTCGACTTTTTAACTAGCCATTCTGACAAAAATTTTGAAATCAATTGCAAAGTATTGTTGTCTTGAGCTTAATTGGAAAAAATATTTTAGTTCGTACTTCTCGTAAAATTATGGGGTTTGAAGACTGCCATTTTAGCCAATTTGGGACAATTAACGCGCGATAAGCTTCGCGCGGGGGGTGTTCAACAGTGCCGAAGTACAACAGTGCCGAAAAAGACGGGAAAATTTCAGAATAATTACAACGCATTTTATAAAGAGCGGGAAATTACTGACGCTAGAAACAAAGAAAATCACTTTGGCGCCGAAATTTCTACAACAGCAAATTATACATAAATTTTGGCGCCGAAACTTCTAAGATGCAAATTTTCTCGCTCAAATTCTTAAAGTTTTACTTAAGATTGTAAAAAAATGCCGTTAAATTTTTGATTGCCGCACTTAATATGTTGAAATTTGTTCTAATTTTCGGCACTGTTGAACAATTTTTTTTGGCACTGTTGTACTGCCCCGCTTTGTGCTTCTAACGCGTAAGAGGAGATTTAATCCGTCTTAGAAATAGATCCAAATTGCTAGGCGGAAGATTTATTGCCCTAATTGATTTGTTACTGCGGGCGAAATTCATCACTTGTGTACTTTATATGGCATTTGTGGGGAAGTGATTTTTCACAAAGAAAAATCTTATAAAAAAAGTTCATTTCATTTTAATAACATTTAATTTTTTCATTCTATTACTGCTCCATAGACATTAAAAGACAGTCGGAACAATCAAGGCTTCGCCCTGATATGAGCAGTTTTGTTTGTGTTTTAATACTATTATTAGCTCAGTAGTGGACTTTTGACGGGTCTCATCGGTTACCCCACCCCCTAAATGGATATATTTTGCAATTTAAATTTCACGTTGAAATTGAAAGCGCAAAAGCGAGTGAAACAAACCATTAAAAAACACTCGTGTGCAATTAGCAGCTGCTCGATTCGAAAACAAAATATACTGCAAATTTATCACTAGGTGCTAATTGCACGCGAGTGGTATTTAATTGTTTGTATCACCCGCGTTCGCGCTTTCAGTTTCAACTCGAAGTTTTAATTGCCAATTATATCTTTTTAGTGGAGGATATAACCAAAAAGACCCCTTTCGACCAGCAACTTTTGAAAATCTTCATGTTTTATCGGAAACTTAAAAGCATTTTGGTCATCTTGTGCTGTCAACCATTTCAGTTATGAGCAACGGTTCTTAGTTGAAACTTTTATTTCCCATTCTGTCCTTTCGAATTTTTACTGATCCGTGAGTTAAGGTATGAAACCTAAATTTAAGATCATTACCGTAATCTGAAAAATTAGTGCCGAAATGGCTGATGCCGCAATGATTCCAGGTTTTTTAATTGAGGGTAACAAGAATTAAGACTACTAAACAAGCTCACCGAGGCAAAAACCATTAACAAAATAAGAAAAAAAAATTCAGTGTCGAGCTGCTGTTGGTTCTTGAACACAGACCTTCAAACTTTGAGGTTTAATGATAGGGTTGTAAATTTAGGTACCTCCTTTACTTTTTCAAAGCTTAATTGAAATTGTTTAAGCATCACGAAGAAACACACCAAAGACTTGACGTGAACCAATGACGGCAGGTTTTTTTAAATTAAAACAGGTTTTTCCATAGTGTTAAGTGCATCCCTAAAATTTCACATATTTGTTTGTTTTGGCTCAAAATGTTTCTAAATTTAGCGCATCAAAAACTTGATTATAAGGTTGCAAAGTTACAAGATCACAAAGCCCGACAAAATATCAAAAATCATTGGAGAGTTGAAAGTTCCCAGCAGTCAACAACTTAACCGAAAGCTAATTTCAACTGGATTTGAAATTAACACAACCTGTACTCAAAACACTCAATAAACTGAAGTTTACGCCTCAGTATTTATTAAAATTGCTGAGTGGACTTGTTGTACGGATAACGCCAAAATGTTAGCAATATTAGTGACCTTGAGCAACTTTATTAGTCAGAGGGCTTTTTAGAATAATTAGATTTCGTGTCCGGTAAAAAAACTATTTACGACGTCAAATGAGCAGTATCAGCTGAATTATAGAAAATTTGCAAAAAGTTGGAACAGACAATTAATTCAAAAGAGGGAATGACCTATTTCAGAAAACTTTTGCTTACAAAAGCCAATTTTTCAGACAGAAAGTATGTTTCAAGGCCACCTAAAAAATCGAGTTTGCATGCAAAAATTGCTCCGATTTGGCAGATTATTCTTTTTAGGTAATTATGTTTCTTTCACATTTTGCAACTTTGCAGCCCTCAACTTCAGTCTAATCTTCAGTTTAATCGAAGTTCAAGGTCATTTGGTTGCGCAGTCTTTTTCGAATTTTTCTGACTCGACTTTTTTCCATCGGCAGAATTTTATGAAGTGCAATCTAGATAATAAACCAAATTGAGGTAAAAAGTAAAATCTTTCTTTCTAGTCAGTAAAAATATTCCTTATGAAAATAATTTGCTCTGATATTTTAAATCTGGAGCCTTGAAATATTTCGACAAAAATGCTGGCTTTTATTTACCAGACCTGCAAATATGTCAATTTTGATAAATCACTTTAATTCTTTGAGTTTATCTTTGAGATTCTAAACGATACATCTGTACATTTTGATCAAGTTTCGTATCAAAAGTGCCAAGTATTGCTTCAGAAACTAATCCCGGGCTGTTCTTACTAATCATTTACCTATTTTCTAAATCCGGATGGGTTTTTGATTATTCCTTCTCACAAAGTTTGCTCATTCTTAATTTTGGAGTTCGTTATCTTTCGAAACCAGCCTTATCAAAGCATAAAACCACTTAAATTTGATGCCCGGTAGTCTTTGATTGTAGCAAAGTTTAACCCAATACGTTTTCATACAATTGAACTTTGAGTAGGCTGGTCATCTGATTTACGCCATCGCGGTAATTAGTTGTAATTTTCAAAGACACGTGAAACAAATTGACCAGTGATAGACTCAACTCAGTTGGAGAGATAACCAAGCATACACACACCAGTTTCGATTTACCTCAAACATCTGTGGAAGTCAACAGGCAGTATCATAATTGGTGAAAAAGTACCCGATTTATACGTTGAGCAGCACTGAGAGCAGCTGAGTTCAAAAAGGGATCTTAGCAGCAGTAATATTATCTTGGCTGGAGTTAGAGCAGATGGCGTTCTTCGATTTGCGTGAATTCCTGGTGGTTCTTTGTTTGACCCTCAGCTATGCAGTGGCAGGCGGACTAGTGTAAGTATCATAATTTTTCCCTTAGAATTATTTCGACACATCTATAAAATGATAAATCAAAACTATACAATTTTTGGTTACTAACTTTAGATTCCAGCACTTTTGAGACACAAACATGTCATTTTTACTGATTTTGAGACACTAACATATCAGGATTAATGATTTTTTATTTTTCATGAAAGGGTTTTTTGACGGCGTGAAATGATTAAGGGCTAGTGTAAAAACTTCGTTTATCATGATAATTTCTGACCCTCTGATTTCATGATTTCAACTGATTGTCATTTCGTTCGATGCCAGAACAGTTAAGCCTTCCAAGAAATAAAAGAGTGTTTTCAGTTTCGTAAAAATTAATAATTTCTTGCTCTTGTAGTCGTCATTTGACTTTTTTAAATAGTATTTTGTGTTTTCAGCTACTGTCTTGGGTTGATGCAAGGCACCTGGATTAGTGACCTTAACATCACTACCAACCAAGCGTCACTCATCAACAGTGTGACATTCGCCATCACTCTCCTTCCCGCACCCGCAATTCAAGCGGCACGTGATCACTTCAACATCCCCCCATTCATAATATTCTTACTAGCAGCCCCCCTTCTCAGCGCCGGACTCTACTTCACTAGCGTCGCCTCAACATTCAACGAACTTATGATCTCGAATGGAATCGGTTTTGGGCTTGGTATACTTTTCTCTATAACGGGAAGCTTAACCACTGTTTACCATTACTTTCTAGACGATAAAGTGACACTGGCAACTTCAATTATATCTTCAGGCATAGGTGTCGGAATGATCGCGGTATCTTTGACTTTCAAGTACTTAGTACCAATAATCGGCTGGCGGCAGTACTGCAGATACCAACTAGTATGTTCTTCCGTCTACATCTTTGCAACTATTATATTTTTTCCTCCTTTAAGTAGGCCTCTCGGCATTCGAACTCGGAAGTTTAAAGAACGCCAACTAAAGAAAATCAAGCGACTCCAGAAAAAGCAAAGAGAACGACAGCAATTAGCCGAAGAACGCCAGTCTCTTGTGAATGAATTGGACAGCGGACTCGTGTCTCGGGAAAACAGCGAGCCCGAGTCGTTTTCCACAGTCACCGATGACTTGGCATTCGTCACTCGGCACCCCGACAGTGAGTCTAGTAGTCCATACGAGAGCGATTTAACAGATAGTGTTCTGCAAGCGCACAGTAGTGCGATCACTATAACCGACTCAATCCGAATCAAAACCGGGCAACTTTGGAGGAATATTTTGATGAACCCGCCTTTCCTTCTCCTGATGACGTCTTGGCTTCTAGGAGAGGCGACATTCAATGCAGTCATGGTTCATCAACCTGAACGAGTTGTGAAAATGGGCTTTTCGCTCCAAAATGGAGCCGACACATTAGCAATCAGCGGAGGTGTGCAACTTTTCGCCCGCTTTGGCGTCGGGGTTTTAGCAGACCGAGAAATTGTTTCAGTCGTACGACTGAGTCAAATTTCAAAACTTGTCCTAGGGATTTTCTCAATTTTGAGCAACCTGTTTCCATCTCTGGCATTTCAAACCCTGTTCATGTTTTTAGTCGGCGCTTGCGGGGGAGTTTTGTCAACAACTGATTTTATTCTTGTTAAAGATTGTGTTTCCGAGGGACGAGAATTGGGAATCACAGTCTTACTTCTTGTCGACGGATTATTTTCCCTGCTTTCAATCGCTGGAGCAGGTCTGATATGCACTAAATTTGGCAGTTATAATTCCGTGTTTTACTCGCTTGGCACCTGCAGTTTAATAGCGTTCGTTCTGTTAATTCCGCTGGAAATCATAATGCGCACCAAGAAGCCAAAACGAAGGGAAGGATACACGTCTATAGGTACAGATCATAACTAGAAACCTAATCAAGTTGTCGATATTCCTTTTTGCTGATTTCAATATTTTATTATGGACTCGTGCGTCATTGAAACAAAACACACTTTTTTCAATCGGATAATTTCAAACAAAAAACTGAACTTTTTTGTGCAGCAAGTGCTTTTTAATTTAAATACAATGAAATTTTGATAAGTGTAACTATTATATTTAATCAATTCGATGTTTTATTAAACTTATAATGTTTGATTCAAAAAAACTTTTGATATCATTTTTTTATACCGTTTTAATAAGAGCATTAAGTCGTTTAGGAAACTTTTTTGAGTTTTTCTCGTTTCTTTAATGTCGGATAGGTAACTAATGATTTGCGCAGACCAAGTTGTTTTGACTTCTGAAAACTTTAAATGAGACAAGTTGAAAAGGGGACCGACCTTTTACCAGATCAACCTTTTACCAGAAAAGTTATAACATGGACTTTTTACCAGACTCCACAAACAAATATGATTGACAGATGTAATGGCGCCGTTTAGTCTGGACAAAGACAATGGTTTCACGATTTCTCAGCGAAGTTCTGTTTCTCCGAACCGCTTTCTTTTCGAATCACCCACTGTTTTTAATTTAAATTAAATCTTAATTGAATTATTGCATTGCGGTCTGGTAAAAAGACGGTTTGCTAATCAGGGGGAATGGCCTATAAACATGTGTGCCGATTAGCATGCCCTTGAAAAGAATTCAATTTGAAGATTAGCTTTTCACGTTTTGCTTACTAAAATTTGCAAGTTTTCATCAGAGTGCACTTAGCAGAATTCCTAATTAGGAGAAAATTAAATTTGCTTGCCCGGGTTGACCTCCAGAGCCCAAAAATGCCAATCAAACAACTCCATAAACTAAGTCTATGAAAAAAATACTAAGCATACAAATTTTATCCACTTGGCTAAAATGGTGTCATCGAATTTTCGAAGGACTTTCTTTGTTTTAACATAAAATCCCGTGTAATGTACTACATACTCAAAAACTGCTCATCATAGTATTTCCATGGAATTTGTATGACTAACACTTTTTGAAGGCGACAACAAGAATTGTTTCGAGTAACTATTTGAAATTTTCCCTGTTTTTTGACCGCAAATCGAGTTTTTTACTCAAACCAACATTTTCCAAAAAAAAAACATTAGTCCTGGATGCACCAAAGTGGTATTCTGTTTTCCTTTTCCAAGCTTTTTTCTTTTCGCTTAACAAATTTTCTCAAAAACGCTAAAAGCTCCTATTTTTTTGTATGTCATGTTTATATATGTCTTGATCAATGTTTGATAATGTAAAATTTTTGAAAATTTCTCCCAAAATTTAAAAGTTTGATGCTCGCAGTATGTCATTTGTGTACAAATACTCTTATGCAACTCAGGTCGTTTCCTATGCATCGTAAATCCAAGAACATGAAACTTATGTTGACTCTAGTTAAGAGTAAACCATGGTTTTTGTGACTTGTGTTTGGTCACGAACACCTGCCAAAAGTTTTGAGATATCAATTTTTTTTTAAAATCAATTTTTTTGTTTATGGAAAAATGCTAGTCACACAATTTCTATATATCACTAATCACTTTAAAAACAACGTCAATAAATCACTAATCAGAGACTTTTCATGCAATTTTTTGTACTTATGAAATTGCATGAAAAGTGTATGACTAGCGTTTTTGCATATATGATAATTGTATGATTAGCATTTTTGGTCAACCCGCGTATGTAACCAAATCAGTCTTATTGTTACGTTTTTTGAAGAAAACGAAATAATTATGCTTGGGATGTTTTTTGCAGTCAATTATTGGCAATTTCTCACACTCAATCTTTGATTTTGTCCAAAATTATAGTTGTCAATATTTCATTTTCCCGAAAACTGTTTGCTATTGATTGAAGGGCATTCGGAACATTCAGGGTTTTGCGGAGCATTCGGAAGCTCGAGTGTCGGAGGGAAATCATCTATACACTAATAACTGTATTTATAGTTACTCGGTTTATTGTTCCGCCCATTGGAAATGTGGAGGAACTTTGTATTCGGGTGTGTTTTAATTTTTGTTCCGACCATTGAAAATGGGGAGGAGCTTTGTATTCGGGTGTGTTTTAGTTTTTTTACTTTTGTTGTCCAGGCAAAATCAAGTACCACAAATAATCATCGGACTGGATTGAGTGATATATTATATTGAAGCCCTTTTAATCGTGATTCGAACCACATTTAAACATCCCAAATTTTTTTTTTTCTAGTGTGGAGAAAAACTAGATTAAATATTTTGATTTTCGTCCTAATTGGAGCAAATAGGCAAGCGTGCATGCTTACTTACAACAGTTGAACTATTCTAATTTAAGACTATTTTTTTTCAAATTTTGATTGAATAGAAACCCGAAACTCATTTGTTGACATTATAAAGGCTGTATTTGTGCTCGATGTAATTTTTATACAAGTTTTCACATTGCTCGATAAATTTTTTTTTAAAAAAGATTCGCTGAATTATTGCAGAAGCAAACTAAGAAAACCAGATTTAACCTTGTGAAAATCAAAATCAATTCGAGGCAGGGGCGGATCTAGGATTTTCTTGAGGGGGGATTTTCAAAAAAAAATCAAATTTTTTTTTTAGGCAGATCAAATTGATTTTCCGAGCTCTCCCAAGGAATTAAAGAGTTTTGGCCAAATTTTCTGCGCCGCAGGCCACTTTTTCAAAAAACAGGCTAAAATAGGCATTTTTGGCCACTTTTTGGATAATTTGGACCAAAAAAATCACATTTTTTGGCGCGCGCTCCCGCCTTCAAAATTAGCATTTATTGGCGCCGAAAAATTTTAGGGTACGTCAGCCAAAAATGGATATCTCAAAAAAGTACAGAGGGGGACCCTTTGGGTCGACAGGGGTTGAATCCCTGAAGAAGGGCATCCGCTTTTCATTCAGAAAAAATTTATTGCTTTTCATTCAGAAAAAATTAAGGGATAGTACACCTGCAAGCGCTATCGTTTTTTGTAGAGTACAGGGTTCTGGAAATTATCCATTTGGTACACCCACACTTGAGTTTCATGGAGTATAATCAATTTATTCGGATTGTATCGGCAAGAACCTTAAACAATATAATCAATTTTCATTAATGTTTTTACCATGAGAATGGATTTGGTTTTCAGCGGATTTTAACCGATAACTTTTATAATAGATTATAATCCCTTTTTAATTTTAAAGTAATCGATGTTTTTTTCTTCATAAACTCCATGAAATTCGGTTACTTTGTGTAAATGTGAAATGTTTTTTCTACTTATTACAGCTTTCTACAAAATTAGAACCGAAACAACATGTTCAACACCGCGTGCATACCCTCCTTCCTCAACGTTTTGGCATCGGTCCCGAATTTGAAACCCCCGACCGCACCCCTTTCTTAAACCCCAACACTCCTCCCACTTCCTCTTTCACCCTTACGCCCTCAAGTTTATTCCCTCGCCTAGTTTACCACCAAGATTTTGCACCTTCTTGCACACACATGCCCCCTCCAGACTCACCCGTCAAGTCAGTTTACAACCCTTCAATCTTTTGCTCCCACCACAGGGGGGGTTTCACGAGGGGGAGTCTTCTGGTGAGAAGAGGTGGTAAACTAGGGGGTGGTGGAGGGGAAGTGTGTGTGGGGGGGGGGGGGGGTGCTGGTTGGCTTAAAAAGAGGCTAAACAATGAGGAAAAGGAGGGAAGAAAGGACATAAATTGGAGAAAACATCGTAAAAAAAAGTTCAGCTAAATTTGAGAAAACAAGATAACAATTTACTAAGCCAAAGTAAGTCTCGCTTTTGCTTTTGTCTGATAAGACGTGCTTTTTGCCGAGATCACCTCTCAATTTGTGAAAAAACTTACGCTGTTTTTAAATATTTTGTACAAATTTAAAGAAAAAAGTTTCGTAATACATTACAATTGATTAAAATAAATTTTATTGATTTGACAAAAAAATATAATCCTTTTTTAATCGATTGTAATCAATTAATTTTGTTTTTTATGGAGCTTTTAATTGATTGTGGAAACTTTATATAATCGACGAAACCTTATACAAATGAAAGGGGGTTTATTTATGCATAAATAGTAACTCTAAGCCGCGCAAAAATTAGTACTAGCTTTTTTTGATTGAATACACTTACGAATGAAAGCACAACGACTGTTTTCGAAGTCACTTAAATTTTTCAAAAAGACTGTGGGTGGTTGGCTAGTTTTTTGCTGCTAGAATGCACGAGCTATAAAGGAAAGAAATTTTTTAACTAAGTAACTTTAACCTGCATTGAAGCTAAAAACAGAATTTTTCCATCTTTTTTTCCATTTTTTTTTCAAAAACCGCGTATTCAGGAGGAATCAGCAATCATCAAAAATGTTGCATTGTCACAAGTAGCCAAATTTTTAACGATTACATGTGCCTGTCAACTTAAATTGAAAGAATTTAGGGCAATTTTGAGAAAAAAAGTTACTTATACTTTGAAAACTTTGTAGCAAAACTCGATATATGCTAAGACAAGTAAAACTGATTAAAAAAAGGTTTCCGGCTCAATTAAATTGTTAAAAAAATAATTATGTTGAAAAAAACTGATAATTACAGAAACATATCAATCTTTTATTCGGTCACATACCGGTCCGAAGAAAGCAACAACTCAATCTAAGACTTGTGAGAAATTCACCATATAAAATTCAGGTATGAACACAACAACATGCAAGATTGATTATTCTGATCGCCAAAAATCATGTAAAGTATATTGATTACAGAGGCGAAGCACCACTTGCGATACAGAACAAGAAAGTCAGAAAAAAATTAAAAAATCGAAAAGGTCGAAAAACTTAGATCTATCAAAAAATTAGGCTAGTTTTCAAATAAAACAAACATGCCAAGACAATTGAATGAGAAATAAGCATCAGAAAAAATGTAACCAAACGGTAGCAAAGCTGAAAAACACCTTGGCAGAAACCCTCTAAGCCGAAAAAAAATCAACAAGACTTAATTTAATACGTCCCCTTCACCCTCAAAACAAACACTCACACAAAAATATTTTCTCTCGTCAAAAGACGCACTATGTTCATTAAAGCAATATAAATTGGCCATACCCTATCAAGCCAAAAGAAAAGAAAAAAAGCCGAAAAAAAAATTGTTGTCACAAAAAACGTGAACTAGAATTTGTATTAAGATTTTTTAGCATTTTGTGCAATCTAGAGTGAAGAATAAAAATTTTGTTTTCCTTGAAACGAATCGAGATTAGGTCAATAATCCAATAAGAAATAGGCCCAAATTATTTGGGCAGAAAAAATTTTTACAGCGAAAAAAAAAGAAAACATAAAAAGTCAAGCTTACTAAAAATACAAACATCAGATTTACAAAAGAACACTAAAATCAGCTACCATCTAGACAAAAACTTAAAAGAAACAATTCTATAATATGACAACTAGGCCGACAAAACATAAAATAATGAACCGACAATTCATAAAGAAACAGGTCCTGTCAAATTCGAACCCAGGACCTTTGCCGGCCCAGGCGTATTCGTTACCTCCAAACCAAGTGTGCCGGAGACGCAAAGAAACTTTAATTCAATTTGAACTGAACCCAAATTTACAATTTTTGGTTTTGACTATTTTGTGAACAAAGTTAATTATGGGAAAAAAGTCTAGTAACTGATTGCATTACCGTTGCTTTCGCAAGGGAAAAAACAACATTTAAGTAATAAAATTAAGAGCGTTGATACACAAGGAAAATGACCAAGATCAGGGTGATCCGCTTTGGGTTGCAAAGAGGCCTTACCCTTGTATGTTTTGACTTTGCTCGACCTATGTTTCGTCTTTCTCGACATATGTTTCGACTTTGTCGACATGTTTCGACTTTTTCGACCAAAAATGGGTATGCTTCGACTGTGCTCGACATCTGATTCGACTTTCTCGAATACCAATTAACATGAGTAAATTGACAAAAATTTATAATGTATGCTTTTCAGTTGACTTTTTGCGATGATGCTTGATTTGAAAATGAACTATAAAAACCTGTAAAATGCAAAATTCCTCCATTGAAAACTTTTTTTTTCTAGTTGAATTTCCCAATTTTTTTTTGGTTTTTTTCACAAATCTGGTCTGAAACTGTTGATGTGAAAGCTGATATTTGAAGAATTTTCAATAGAAGTTACTTTTCTTGCCCCAGGAATCCTTAGATTTCCAAAACTGGAAGGATTCCCTCTGAAACTTTTAGTTTCGCGGTAAATCTCAATTGATTGTTGTGGGCTCCAAATTTTAAACGGAGGTCTTTTCCGAGCAGATTGTTTTTGCTCAATTTTCAATTTGATTTATATTAAAATCTTCAAAAAAAATAAAATTCTTAAAAAAAATAGATTTTGTTCGACTTGTATTTCGACTGTGCTCGACATGTTTCGACTTTCTCGACCTATGTTTCTAATTTCTCAACGAAATCGGTTATGTTTCGACTTTGTGGTGTTTCGACTTGAAATTGTTTCTGACCGCAGAGTTTCTGTCGCAAAACTGTACTTGCTCGACTTTCAAAGTCGAAACATAAGTCGAGAACCTCGACTCGGGAAGTAAGACACACCGTGAGCCTCAAATAACCGTCATTATCAACTAAGCGGCGGAGATCTTAGCGATTTCTCTATATATCCAAAAAATCAGCTTTTATAAAAAAAATTTTATGAGATGAAGACCTACGTAGAAAACTTTCGGCAGTGAGAGGGTTGAATAAATATATCGGAGTACTGCAATTGCGTATAAAAAGTTTACCAACAAAAAATAAATTTTTGTGCCAGACAAAATCTAGTTTCAGAAAAACATGAGGGGTTTACAAGGAACCAAGGTGGGTTAATCATTATTGTATTGTCAGCAAAGGCGCAACATGATTTTGCAAATGTATAAAATATTGGAAAATGAAGGTAGTTCTTGTCCAAATAAGGTCTGCGTCAAGTTGTTTTATGCAACGGTCTTCTATATTAAGAACCGGATTTAGAATTCATTGTTTTTTAAACACTATTGAGCGTATAGAGATTTTCTGACGATAGCTTCCGCAAAACAGTACCAATGCAAAAGCCTAAAAGTTATTGTTTAGTAGCATATAAGCATGTAACGTCAAAAACTACGTCACAAAATTAAGAAGAATAAAAAATCATGGTGCAATTTTTTTTCGTTCATGTTAATCCGGCAGTTCGAAAGAGTGAACGTTGACCATGCTTTTCATTGACCTTGACCTTTGAGCAGCCCGTTGACCGTGAGTCCTTTCATGACCTTTTCAAAATCCTCGTAGCCCAGTTTCCCGTCGTTGTCTACGTCTGCCCGACTGATGATCTCTTCGACCTCGTCAAAGGTCAAAGGAGCACCCAGTTCTTGGAACACCACGCTACACAGAACAGACAATTTGAAAACATTATCTCCAATAAACAAGTTGCTAGCTTTTAAGAAATCAAAAAAAAATAAGCAGATCAAAAATTTAAAAAAAAAACTTGACGTTCTTCAAATTTGAAAACGGGGTGACTGCTTACGATACACACTGACATTTTTTGGCTCCAAACTGTTGCCTGTTCATCCCAAAATGCCTGTTCAAACAACAGCCTGTCCATCCTAAAATTTGGTAAAACCTAACATATTGATTGCTATTTTTGCATTTACGATGACATGTTTTGAGGCACTAAACGCTTCTGACAATTCGTAAAAAGCGCTCTGGTTGACGTTGGTTTAGAGGTTGAATTTAATCTTGTATTTTTTGCATTAAAATTTTTTCACTCACAACATCTCTACGGGTCCTACGAATCCGTCCTGGTCCCGGTCGAATATGCGGAACTGTTTGGCAATGACTTCATCTTCATCATCATCGTCCTGCATCCTCCTCGCCATTAACTCACAGAACGCGTTGAAGTCTAACTCACCCCTGCCTGAAAATAATAGGAAAAGCGATTAATGGCAGTAGGCAACAATTCGTATCATTTGATGGAAAAAAAAATATTTCATCGTGTAGCTACTAGCACAAAACATTTCGAAATTAAATGGCGCTATCTCAAAAGAATTAATCAGTTTGTCAATTTTTATTTGATTTTAAGTTTTAAATTTTAATCATTTTGCCAATAAGTCTCAAGATTTTGCAAATATTTATTAAATAAATAAGTGAAAATTTATAATTGAAAAATTAAGCAATTTTATGACTCACTTTTTGGAATATGATGAGAAAGTGATAAGTTGGTTTACAAAAAGAAATTTTCTAAAAGCGTATCTTGAATAAAATAAATTTATTTTGAAAATTGGGGTCTTTTCTTGCGCGGTCTTGAGTTAACAAAACATTGAATGAGTTAACATTTTTGAAATTAGACTGTAGACTCCATTCCGTATAAGTTAACCTTAAGGAATCAGACTCAAGTTTTAATGTCCAATTCTTATTACATCAGAAAGTGATGAATAGTTTCAAGCTCAAAAGGCTTCTTGTAAAAAAGCAAAAAAAAAACAGGTTACTGCAGTTTTAAAAATAAAACAATAACAGAGACTTCATCCGATAAAAAGGCTGAATGCTCAATCAGAAGCGCACAATTAAGATTCTAAAACTAAATTTTGTTGAACGTGATTGCAAATAAGATTCTGGTATCATTATTCCTGAAGTTATTTTGCTCAAACGAAAAACCATACCACTTTAAAGACGATGATACTAGACCATCATAAATTTAATTTAAACTTCAATCTGAACAAAATTGAATTTGCTTATCTGAATAGTGATGTTTCAGTTTCTTACTGTTGTGATTATCAAGAAAATGAAGCAACCTTTTATGCAGGTACTTTTTTCTTTTTCAGACTTTCTAAAAACAAAAAGGTCATAATGCTTTTAAGAAACAAAAGCAAAAATAAATCAAAGACAGCCGGTTGCTGTGCAAGTAGCACAGAATGCTCCCACCATATTCATAAAACTATTCACGCGCGTCAAAAGCTGGTAAGTTAGGCATAATCGTCAACAGTTAGCCTAATTGTTGTGATAAACTTATTTAATAGATAGATATGTCTCGACGAACCGGATAAACATCTTATCTTGGGTAGCCCTTGTCTACGAAGGGATTTTAGAGATCCGGTTGATGGAAATCGAAATTGACAGAATCAGATAAAGAAGATAAACCAGCTCATTTGAGAGTGGTTACGACAGCAAGAAAAGACACGAACAATTTCCCGGATGTTATCCAGCTCATTTTAGAGCGGAAACGACAAAGAGAATTTGGAAATATCTTTAAACAAATCTACCAAAATCCAGCTCATTTAAGAGCGGAAACGACCAATAATTCCCAGCAAGACAATTGAAATATGTCGTCTCTCCACTGTACAGTATGTCAAAACGCTTTAACCAATCAATCGGTGAAATGCGTCGGTTGTCAAGCTTCTGCCCACTCTGCGTGTATTGGCCTCAACACTGCCGATAAGGTGGTTGGGCACATTGAATGGAGTTGCCCAGATTGTGGAACCTGTAAAAGAGATCTTTTCCGAGTTATTGATGAACTGCGACAAGAACTGTTCTCAATAAAGACTATGGCGCAAGATGTACACGAATTAAAGTCTGAGCTGCTATCGCTGAAGCAATATCGTGAACCAAGTAGTATAATTGAAAAGAACAAAACCAATTATGCTGGGGCAGCGACGTTTAATCTGAATTCTTCGGCATTTATCAGAAATGCTCGTGAAAGTGTATCCTCAGAAGCTGGTAGCTCGAGGGTTACGAAGCGAAAAGGCTCCAAAGATAGAAATGACCGCAGACCAAAGAAACTACTAATTACGGGAGAAGTGGTAACAGAAGCACTCAAAGGTGTAGAAAAGCCACCACCACGACGCCATCTCTATGTTGGAAGAATTAAACAGACAAATGATGAAAGTGATATAGTCGCATGGTGTCAAAGTAAAGGATTTCCTCTGAATCATATCAGGGAAATAACAAAGGAAAATTCTCGCCACAAAAGTTTCCACTGTGTATTTGACGGCGAACATGCAACAATCATTGATCAACCTAATTCTTGGCCGGAAAATGTTGTAATTAACAGGTACTATCTTGATGCAGAAGCCAGAACCTGGCTCAGAACTTTGAAAAGCGATTGACTAAAATCAAATAAAAAACCCGAGTCTCAATCGAATGCTATGAAAGTTGGTGTAATTAATATACGTTCTCTAGCGAAAAAAGTAAATCAAATACAGAGCATATTGGCTATAGAACAAGTTGATAACTTGATCATAACTGAAACCTGGCTTAAGCCGGATACGGAATATATTCTAAATCAGTGCATAGACTCTTCAAATGAATATCGATACCATCATGTTTCACGAACGGCTAAAATAGGTGGAGGTGTTGCCATTATTTCTCGCGAAGAACTACAGGGTGAAAGAATTTTAAGCCATCTCTCGGACGATGGTGAATTCTTGGTAATTACGGTCGTGACTAGAAAAGTCAAAATAACAATTGCAGCAATATATAGACCGCCGAGTGGAAATTATAACGAGTTTTTTAATGAATTGACTGAAAATATTCTTGCTTCATCAATTGAAACCCAAATTCTCCTCCTGGGTGATTTTAATTTGGATCTAGAAAACAGACGTTGTGCCAAATCCAATACATTTTGTTCGATTCTACTGGAATATAACCTAGAACAGATTGTTAAGAAAGCAACTCACGAATACGGGAAAATTCTAGACCTCATAATTTGTTCAAACCCGGAATTGTGCTCACCCGTTAGAAATGAGCACGTTGAATACTCTGATCACCATCTATTGACGTTCACTTATGAAATCGCAATTCAACGGAAGGATAAAACCAGATTGACTATTTATGATTGGAACAATACAGACTGGAAACATTTAGAGACGGAAATAGATCAGAATTTAATCTTGAATCTGAACACCAGTGACCCGAACGAGATGGCGGAGAATTTTATCGAAATTTTGCAGCTGCTGAAAACTGATTATGTGCCAACTAAGACCAAAGTTGTCAAAAACCGATTTTGTAATTTTTACGATAAATAGTTAGCAGACGTAAAACGAAAACGTAAAAAATTAGAACGCGTAATGCGTGTAAATCCTGGATTAGAAAACGAAACAGCTTTCAAGGAGTATTTAAAGAAATGTAAAGATCTGTTTAGAGAGAAGAAATTGATATGTTTTTCCAGGCGCTTTGAGCTTTCAAATAGCCATTCGCTCAAGTTTCGTGAATTGAAACGCCTTGCTGGAGAAAAACAACAAAACGTTCTACCGCTGATATACTCCAGTGATTATGAATTAGCTGAAAACTTCAACCAATTTTTCATTCAGAAGGTTAGAAATTTAGTGGCAAATGTGAAAAGTAATGGCATCTCGCCGCCACTCTTTGCTTTCACTGCAGTTTCTTCTTTCCAATTCCAATATGTGACTACAGATGAACTAGAAGAAGCAGTAAGAATGGTTTCAAACGCGAACTCACGAGAAAATATACTGAAAACTATAGATATGAAAAGAATCGCACACTCGTGGAAAGATTATTCCATCATTATGATAAACAATTGCATCGATCAGTCCAAATTTCCAAAGTGTCTCAAGAGAGCGGTGATAACTCCTCTCTTTAAAGACCACAAACTTGACCAAAACGTTTTAAATTCTTATAGACCAATAGCGAATCTGATGTTTATCAGTAAAGTTTTTGAAAGAATTTTATATAAACAGCTCGATCAATACCTTAGCTCCTATAATCTTCTAGATGAACACCAATCTGCTTACAGGAAGCATTTTTCAACTGAAACGGCTCTGCTAAAAACTACAGATGATCTACTGACTAGTCTCGACAACAAGAGACAGGTCCTTTTGATAGCCCTTGACCTTTCAGCTGCATTTGATACCATTGATCATAAAACATTGAGAAAGATCATGAAAAATCGGATTGGAATGACGAATGATGCAGTGGATCTAATTCTTTCCTATCTAGAGAATCGGACTCAAATTGTTGCTATCAATGATGTTTTATCGAATTCTCAAGAACTCGAATTTGGAGTGCCTCAAGGTTCTCTTCTGGGACCCCTCCTGTTCTCAATCTACCTGACACCATTGAACGATATTATTGGCTCAACTAAATTTTCATACCAAGTGTATGCCGATGATACTACTTTATACTGTGAAATTAAAAATGAGAGTGAAGTAGCAGAAATAGAAAGATCTCTGGTTATTATTTCGAACTGGTTTTCGTCCATGGGGCTTATGTTAAATGAATCAAAAAGCCAAGTAATTAACCTAGCCACTAGTAAGTCAAAAGGTCTAACAAACGGTTCAATACTCATTGCAAATTCAACGGTTAAGCTGATGAAATCAACAGAAAACTCTGTGAAGTCTTTAGGTTGCCTCATTGACCGATCCTTGTCATTGAAAAAACAGATCGATTCCGTGTGTGGCGCCAGTTACCACAGTCTCCGGAAACTATACAGCATACGTTTCTACCTTGATTTTGAAAATAGAAATATGTTGGCAAGAATGCTAGTCTTAAGTCGATTAGACTACTGCAATAGCTTGTACTCGAGCTTACCAAATTATCTGCTCTACAAGTTGCAAAAAGTCCAAAATAGTGCCTGCAGATTTGTTTTCGGTTTGAAGAAGTCAACGAGTATTACTCCTTATCTACATGATCTACATTGGTTGCCCATAAAATCTCGAGTGATTTTTAAAGTCTTGACAATCGTACACAAATGCATTTTCAATCCTCAAATCGTTCCGTCTTATCTGAGTAAATATTTTTCACTACAAAAAAGTTCCTCCCGTTTCAGTGAAAGGACCGTGGTCATTAAGAAACCACTGGTTAACACGAACTATGGAAAAAGGACGTTTAGATTTGCTGCCGCACACCATTGGAATAGTTTACCATGTAACCTTAAACTACCAAATGAAACTGAATTTCGTAAACAGTTGAAAACTTATTTGTTTAACCAGTATTACTATGAGACTTGTTTCAGTTAAAGGTTGCTAAAATGACTGAAACTAGAAAGGTTGGAATTCAAAAGCTAAACGAAACCTTGCGTCTAAGAAATGTTCATGTTGAAACCAGGTTTCTCCCCAAAAGACGGATAATATTGAGCTCTGATAAGATCAAGAGAGTGACATATGCTGTTTTGGGATCATCGCTAGTTTATGGGATTTTTCTGCCAGATTCAGTGACAGTTTCGTGCCCTGGTGGAACTCTCTCAACCCTTTGTAGCGATCAGGTTCTCAATGATATGAAAAACTTGGATGTACAAACAGTGCTCATAATGGGAGGAACAAACAACCTGTTTGACCGTTCAGGGCGCCAGTCATTGGGAGCGACTGAAGTAGCCGAGGAGATGGAGAGTGCTATTTTTAGACTCCTTGACTGCAATTTCGAAGTTGGCGTCATGTCACTTATTAGCCGGGAAGGTGAACGCTCTCTTATCAGGAGAGTGAATAAATGCTACAGAAATCTAACGGCATGGTATAAAATCCCGCTCTTTAAAACTGTAAAGTTCAGCTATTGGAGGCATGTTTGCGCAGATGGACTTCACCCCACAGCAAATGGCGTGCGCGAACTTGCTAAGGACTTTTATGACGCCTTCAGAAGCATAGAAAATCCAATGGCTGTGAAACGAAGGCAAAGAAGGCGACGACGATGAAACGCCCAGCTCATTTTAGAGCGGGTCCGATTTTTAACCATCTTCAAAGAACATTTTCTGTTTAAATCCCAGCTCATTTTAGAGTTGGTACGGCTATCGACAGAAACGAACTCATCTTTAGCAGAGCGACTGATTATTTATACGACAAAACTGGTTTTACATTAAACTCAAACACCTTTGAATTCAAGAAATTGGTGTCGAAATAACATATGTGATGATGATGATGATGAACAGTTGTCTTCAAAAAAAATAACAAACAAAAAATGAAAAAAAAAATCAAAAAAAATTTTGAAATGTTTGTTTTTCAGCAAAAATTTTCAATTTTTTGAAAACAATTTGTTCCTGCCAGGTAAGTGTAAAATATAGCTTTCAAACTAGTTTCCGTTTGGAACAATCAAGTTTTTCTAGTAACACTGACCCATTTACCAAACTTTTTTAGAATTTTTTCAATGTCGTTTGAATCACGACTGAGAGGGCTTCAATATGACGTATCTTTCAACTCGGCGAGGAACTTTGTACTCGCGTGTGTTTTAGTTTTTATTTTTTTCCTCGCAAAATCAATTACCTTAAATAATCATTGAACTGATTTGAAAGATACATCATTTTGAAACCCTCTCAGCCGTGATTCGAACGGCATAAAAAAAGTTCCAAAAAAAAGTCTGTTAAATGGGTCATTTTGACTAGAAACATTTTCAATGGTCGGAACAACAAAGCGGACTTCAAACGTTTGTATCCAAAAATACGCTTTAGTATATATTTTTTTGATTTTGTCGTCCACGATTTTTGTTTCGGTTGTAATCAGAACTTTTTGTTGCTGCGCAAAAAATTTAATAACCAAGGTTGATCGAATTTGGGATATCTTAGAGGCTGAGAGCGCCAACAAAAAAACACGCGTTTCGCAAAAAAGTGCTTGCTGACATGATTCCAACGGTTTTGATTCAAAATCTCGATGTCTCATTTTTCTAAAACTTGAGTAAAACTTCGACAAAAACACCGATATTAAAAACTAAGCAGACGCAGCAGAGTATATTTATGTGAACATTGTGCCGAGCTTTTTGCTAGTCGATCAAAACCTAAATTGCAAGATCTAGATACACTCGGTAGCAAATTCAATACATCGAATCGTTACAACAAAGAGACCCATCACAGTTTTATGACCCATACACAGGAAAAAAAACAAACATAAAAAAATCCTAACAAAAGTTGTTTGATAATAATTCAAAGTTAAAAAAACAAGCATAAATTATGTTTCTAAAATTTTGGACCCTTAAAATTTTTTTAATACTGATTCAATACTAGCCAGGTTGTCAACTTGTGACAAACCAACTTTGTTTAAGTGCAAAAAACAGCAATATCTTACCATATTGTAGACATTTTTGTTAGCGCTATAACAATTTTATCCCTAAAAGGGCAATGAGTAGAGATGTAAAGTTGTAGTTTTGCACCAAGCATTTAGCTAATGGTTATTGTCAATTTTGGACAAACCAAAAACACGCAAAAATTTAAAACTTTTCACGGTTCGTTCGCACCAACTAAACCAACATCGAGGTTCGGTCGAGCTTCGGTTCACTTGCTTAAACTGTCTGCATTCTCATGCGCAAATGACCGATTGCGCAAGTATTCTCATTCAATTAACGCCTGTTTTAACTGTCCAGAAATGACTGATTTGTTGAGTATTTCCCTCGAATTTGTGAATATTCAATTCTGATTGGCTGACGTATTTTCACGCATGAAGGATTCCCCCATTGCGACCGACCTCCTATAACAAGCCTTGTTAAAGATGGTGGGTCGCACCGGGGAAATCTCATGCGCGAAACACCGAATGCGCAAACTTTGCTAAGTCAAATTCATAAATTCAAAAGAAATACGCAGCAAAATCAGTAACTTTTGAAAGTTTAAAAAGGGTGTCGATTGGTTGAAAATTTTGCGCATTCGGTCCTTCTCGCATAAAAATAGCCCCATATTGCGCCACTTACAGCTTGTAATGCACGTGTAAGCTTTTTGATGCTCACTTGCACCACATAACGCTTATACCAAATATGAGTCGTACGAAATTAATACGACCGATTAGCTAGCCTACGTGCGTTTCAAGCCCTGAAACGTACGTTTATGCATGTCTCAGGTCTTCTAATTCAACTTGGAACGATTTTGTTAAGCGGGAAAACTTGCCATGCATAAATAATTCGCGTTACGTTTTCAGGATTAAGGATGAAATCTACAACGCGCGCATAAATTTGCAATTTTCAAACTTCCAAAAAAAATTGGAGGTAAAATAATTTTTCAAATTTGATTTCAGGGAATCGATATCTTCAATATGGGCATGAATTTTTTTAAAACTATCACCGAAATTGCCTGACTAAAAAAAGGGCATCATGCATAAATGTTCCGTTTTCTTCGAAAGTCGGAACAAAACCGCACCGAGCTCAAATATCTTTTTTCGACAGCCGAGACAAAAAGCGTTGAGATTAAAAGATCAATATTTTTGGCATAATTTGCACCAGCAATGTTTTTTGGAATTAAATATTATTTGAATTTAAATCTTAAGGCTCAATTCAATTCAAACCAATAGTCAGTTTGGAATAATGAATCAGCTCATTGTAATTATCCCATGCAAAACGTGAAAAATGAGAGCAAGACTGCTTGTATCAGGGCGAAGCCCTGAATATTCTGACTGCCTCTCAAAGTCTATGGAGCAGTAAGAACATGAAAAAAATAAAATGTAATAAAATAAAACATTTTTGTTTGAGGTTTTATGTGAAAACCATCGCCCACACGCCATATAAAGTACAGAGAGATAAATTTTCAGATACGCTTTTTTCAACCAATTAGATTTTTAAGAGGGACTAAACCTCCGCTTACGCTTTCATAGCGCGAAATATCTCGTGGGTTAATTGTCCTAAATTGGCCAAAATGGCAATATTTAAACCCCCATAACTTCACAAAAAATAATCATCGGTGAAATATTTTTTCAAACTTAAGCTCATGACAACGATACCTTTTTAATGACATTTTTGATGAATTTGTGAAACTTTTCCAATGTAGACCCAAAAAAACAATAAGCTGATTCATCAGCTGTTTTTGATTTTGGGGGTTAAGCTAACATGGCTTTATTTTTACTTAAAGTTTCTGAGACTCATTAAAGAAGCTAAAGATTTGAATCATTTGCCCTGATACTAGCTATTTTTCTGACATGAAATTGTCCAAATATTGTACATATCACTTCAAGAAATGAGAAGCACTCATATTTGAACACCAAATTTAGACAAAAAAGGTGAAAAGTCAGAAAATTGAAAAAAAACTGAAAGAAAACTTACAGATGTCTTTTATTCAGAAAGTTTGTGACTTTTTTCTGAATTTTATATATTAATTTTTAGGTAAAAAGCGATTAAACTGAGAAAAAAACTGCAGAGCGATGGAACATAATAGCTAAATCAACGTAAATATGCAGTAGATTTTACTTGCGTGTCATCCAAATTGACTTCAGTGTCACCAAAAGTTGCAAAATTTGGAGAAAATCAGACAATTTTTCTCGAAACTGAGACATTCTTTCAAGTTTTTTTTGTAATTTAAACTGCGACTGAATGGTTTTCAATATGATACTACGCTTAACCACATGTGTGCTTTCTTGAGGTGGTCAATATCAGGAAAAAAACACACCCTACGACATAGTTCCTTCCCAACGGAGAATTATCGGAACAACTTCCACCACCTCCTCATCTATAAAAACAGATTCGAAAAAGATTTTTTTAAAATTTTTTCTTGGCAATGATATCCTTGGTGTGAACATTCTGAAAGTTTCGTGCAGCCAAAGGCTAAAGTTTAGCAATTAAAAAATTCATTTCTCAATATTTTAAGTTTAACTACTGTTTGAATAGGGTGTCAAGTATCTACAAGGGTGAAAACAGAAATAAAGACCATTCCTCTGTTGTCAAGTTTCAACCACCAATCCCAAAATTTTGATGAATTTTTGGCTAAAATGAACCAAATGAATCAAGTTTTTGGTAACGGATTCTAGAATAACTATGAAATAAATACTATGAAGAACGAAAGATAAGGTCAACCTGTACTTTTTTTTACTAAAATCGCTTAACTGGGGAGGGCACTAAATTTGGTTATAAAAATGATTTCTCACCTGACTCATCCACTTCGTCGATCATATTTCGAATCTCGGTCGGATCTGGCGCGAACCCCATCTTGGTCAGACATGTCTGCAGTTCACTGAACCCAATTGAACCCTGTCCATTTACATCGAACAGGTCAAATGCTTCTTTGAACTCTGAAACCGGACATCGAAGTTAACCTCAAAATCCTGACTTAAAATTTTTTCCGGTTTGCATTTTTTGGAGAGTGGTATTTGTTATTGTATAAATTTGACCGAACGAAGCTTCATAACGCTCCAATGACCCTTGTTAACTTCACATTTTTCAAATAGGAATATAGGCCGTGGGTTTGAACAGCCAATAGGTAGTTGGTAAAAAAATAAGAATTAACGAAATAAGAACCAATTCGTAAAGTAAAAATGAATTGAAGCATTAAGTAAGGTCATAGTAGTTCGTAATTTAATGAACCGATCATAATATGTTTAGTTAACCAGAAAAATGATTCAAAAAATGAGCGAAACTCCTGGCGTTGCCAAACTATTCAATATCAGATTGTGTATTTACAATGGGGAGATTGTGTATTTACAATGGCTTTGAGACTGAGTTTATAATACCTGCAATTTGGCTGGCACTCAAAGTCGAGATCAGTTTCTGGCTGTCTTCTTCAGACCCCATTGAGGTTATGGAGGACTTGGTGGATTTGCGGGACAGCGCTGAAATTCAAAAAATATACAGATACATAACATTAGCTCAAGATCGAATAAGTATTTAGATGTTGATATAGAATATGGTTAAAACATTCAGTCAGTAGAAAACTAACCAATTGTTTTTTTTAAATATATATTTCACTATTCAAGGCCTAAACCTTATGCTTCTCAGAATGAAACGCTGAATTTTATTCCTGTCGTACATGAATATAATGTTTTAAGTCAACAAATATTTTGATCGATTCAGCTCATTACTTCGGAAATTTTGGATGAATTTGATTTCGTGATTTTCATCTTAAATTATAAGCCCCAACAAAACCTTTTATCAGAGGAGTTTAGGAGAAAACATCCAGAACAGTGATTCGAGCATCGCTTTGTCAAAGTGTGAAAAATGAGAAGGCGGAAATTATTTCATAAGCAAAGATAGTGCACAACTTCGGCCTTTTTATTAAGACCAGCTGAGAAATAAAAAGTTTTTTTGTTTAGTTCAGACAACTTGAAAACTGCCTATTAAGAAACAAAAAAAGACACAGTTCGTAGCTGCGCAAGAGTCCCAGAAATATACGACCATCTTCAACTTGAAAAAAAAAGTAATGAATTTTTCGTCACAAATTTTATAGTTTTTTTTCGGAGGAAGAGGTTCTAATAAAAAAATCTGAGAAAACATTGATCTCTCTACTGACGTCATTGTTGAACGACGACAGTAATCTACCCTCTAAATTGGTCTCAATAGTAAGAAAAAATTCAGACCACTTTTCTCGACAATGAACTGAGAAAATTTAGGGAGGACCCTTCGGGCGGTTAGGGGGGAGCCTTCGGGCGGTGCTTGACGCCCTTTCCCCTAAATGTGCTGTAAACGACATCAGTACTAATTATCAATTACATCATAGAAGCAGAAATTTAAACTGTTTCTTTTATTCTCTCACGATTTTTTTTTTTCGAATTTTGATTGCAGTTCGATTCACACTTGGAAAAAATTTAAGCTGCTACTTCACCTGGTATCGAGTGACGTATATTAGCGGTGCTTAAAGTTTATTGGCGAAGCCTAAATTCAAATTTTCTTATTACCGCTAATAAAGGTCACACGAGATCAAGTGAAGTATCAGCTAAATAGCAGCTTAAAATTTTTCCATGTGTGATTCGAACTGCAATCAAAATCCGAAAAATCGTCAGATAAAAACATGGGAAATTTCAACATTTTTGCCTACTTTGTGGTGAGATAAAAACTTTTTAAATGAGCCAAAAATTGCTGACAGTTCAAGTAAGTTTTCTTATGTTACAGCCAACAAGAAACTAGTTGCTCTATCAAAAAATTGATACAATAAGGGCTGTCACAAAAGTCATAAGTTCAAAAACTTCCTGTAGTGTCAAAAATTTAAGCTAAGTATTGACATAAAAGAATAGCATATTTCTATACACTATCTATAGCATATATTAGCATGTACTCTATACGAATATTTAGAGTCAGCTGCGGGTTTTTGTGGCGAATGGATATCAAAATCAATTACGAACACATCCTACTTAATCAAAACCTATCAAATTGTGAAATTTCTTGCATTAAAGATTTTTGAGAAATACGAAAAAATTAGGAAACTTTGCTAGCACCTTCTAAGATTATCGGGAAGCTCATTTGCTCTTTTTCGAAATTATAGTAGAAACTTTTTGCGCATGTAAGCTAATAGAGAAGAGACACTCACCAGCCATTTTTCAAATTAAAAATAAGCAAAAATACAAATTAGCTAGAATGGGAAGCGTTTAGGGTCTGATTATCAAAACTCAATTCGTGTGAATGAATAAATTTCGCTCATTTTGAAAAGACTTCAAATATAAAACCGAGAAAAGACGCTTTGTATGGTAAAAAATTAACTATACTGTCTATGTAGAACAAAAGCTACTTCATTAAGAATGATTAAACAAACACAAAACACGCTTGAGAATTCAATCGAGTCAGCATGAGATACTTTACAGATCGGCCTGACTTTTGCTTTCACTGTTTCTAGTCTCAATTTCTGTTTTTATTGACAATCAAAAAAGTATGAATGCAATTGTCTCTTTTGATCGACGCTTTTAGCTTTCTTTATCACTTCATTAGATTAGCGGTATGCGGTAAAAAAAACGAATACCAACTCGATGAAAGTCTATTCACCAATAAATAGATCGTGAAAATTTAATTTTACGGCCAGAAATGTATGTTTTTCTTGTCTCTGAATTAGAACATCAACTTTTATTGAGATTTCTTAATTTTTATTAAAACTTAATTAAACTCAGGACAATTCACGGGGAACGAAAATTCAAAAAAGAACAATTGAACAAAAAGAGCAAATGAACGCTAGAGATTGGCTTTCTTGCGCTTTTTACGAATTGCTTAATCGCTTGCAATTTTTGATCTTCACAATCAAAACAGCTGAAAAAAATTGTTCAAAAAACAAACTGAAGATTCCAAGATTGACTCGAAAACAATAACAACGATCTGTACAATCCTGTTGACCAAAATGGAAACTATTGAAAACGAAGAAGACGACAAAAAAATAAACAAAATGAATTATTTGAAAAACAATGTTTTTGATCTCGGAAAACACATCAACCGCCAAGCAAGATATTAAAGCATAGATAATCAAATTTTTGCAAACACTGGTATCAAATACTGCTGCCAAATTTTGCAGGCTAATACGTCTTCTGATTTAGGTCAATTTTTCTATCTCCAGGAGCAATTAAGGCTGGTCATCCTGTTACGCCTCGCAAGGATTCTGATAAATTTTTAAAAAACGTTCCACTTTTTTTTAAAAATTACCAAATTTTTGATAAAAGATGGGATTTTTAAAACGCAGAGGCAAAGCAGAGCTTCGCATCAATTGCGTTACAACAAACTTAATAAAAATAAGTCCTATAAAAAACAAACTAGGTCTACCAAATATTGAGTATTTTTATGTCTCGATAAAAGTTCACTCTAGGCAAATAGACAATTGAATATTAATTTAGCAACGGAAAAAAACTTACGAAGAGGAAATTAAAGCTGACAATTGAAACTTCATTGAACAACACTAGTCTTTGCAACTACAATGAAAGTTGTTTACGCCACAAGAAAAATCAGCGATGTGGCCATGATCCGCCAATCTTTCAGCAGATACCAGTTGACCCGAAAAGAAAAAAAAATTAGTTTTTTTGTCTTTCAACTCCCTCCCTGAAAAACTAGTGAAGTCGCTTATAAAAAAAAATTAAAGTCCCTCCCTGAAGCTAGAGCGAACAACACATGCAATTACAACAGCAGAGAAAGTTACAGCACCAGCAAAAGACGTGATGTAGCAACTTAGCCAACGAAACTTGAGCAGACAAATGAAAGTCCGACAATTCAATTTCTACCGAAAAGAATTTCAATTGCATATAATTGCAAAAAAAAACAAAGTCCGACCGAGACTCGACCCCAGACCTTAGAGGTGAAAACTAGAAAAGAAAAGGAGTGAAAATAAAGGCCACGCACGCAACAATTTTTGGTTGCAATCACCAGCGGATTTAGGGGAGAGGGGGTGGACGCCCTGCCGAATGCGGATTATACTAAAATCTGCATCGCAGATGAAAAATCTCTGCTTTTGACTTTTTCAATTGCTCCTCGGAATAAGGGAGGATATGGTTGCATACGATCGGTTTGCGTGTCTAACTGGTAAAAGCAAAAGCATGAAAATTTTTGGCAAACTTTCATCTGATTGTTCAATTTTTGGTACCTCAGTTCAAATTACCTTATTTGTTAGTCATGTATTTGTTATTTTGTAAGTAATGGTTTTGCTAACAAAGTTACTTTCATGAAATCACCAACAAGAATGGAAGTTAAACAAAAACTGAAGACAACATCGAAATAAAAAAAGACCTTAAAGTTAACGGCGTTCGATTCACGAGTGAAAGGACTTTACTTTGATATATTGCTCAATATTTTCTGATGACTGCTTAGGGCAATGAATTTGGCGGAAAACCAACAAAAGTATAACGCAACCTAAGAAAAAATTCTCTTCCAAAACAATGAGACATTGCAGAAGTAGAGTAGTTTGCTAAAATAGCTGCACCGAATAGCGATTAAAAACCGCGTAATGCAAATTACGGTTCACAAAATTGTCCTTGTATGGCGTTGTTTTGGAGGAAAACCGAATTCAAACCCATCTCTAGGGTTACCGCGGAGATAATTTAAATGAACAACGTTGAATAAGTTGAAAGGCAAGCAAACTGCATAGAATTAGAATTTATCAAGTGATGATAGAGAACTTTTGCAACTCGGAAAAATAATTAAGAGTATTTAGTAGCTTGGAGAGAAACCTAGAAGCAAGCCAGTTGGGCAGCTCAACGGAAATTGCTTTGTTTTTTTTTTAACACAAGGTGCCTCAGATGCCATCCAGGACAAATAGCAACAGAAAATGATACTTAGAAACAGAAACTTTTAATTATTGCACTTTGCTAAGCGTGGCATTGTGACAGTAATAGCCTAAAACTTTCATCATTTTCCTAAACATATTTTCCAAACATACCATAGAAAGCACGATAATTTCGATAAGAAAACTGATATTTTCAATATAATTTTTCATTTAACACTTGATGGTTTTGCGTCTATAAAAAAGCAGAAGATAATTGAAAAAAAACAGCGATCAATTAACAATGCCTCATCACTTTTTCAGAAAAATTGCGTTGAAAATCAAAAAATCGTGGGGAAATCCTACTGCAGCAAACAATTTGAAATATTCAAAAATTCGAGACATTGCAAGAAAAGTAATCAGAAAGGAAAAAAAACGATAAAAGAACAAAGTGGGAAAAATTTGAAATGCTAAGCACAGTTCAAAGCTTTCAATGAACTTTGCAAAGATAATTCAGAAAAAGTATAAAATGAGTGTTTTGCAAATGATTTTAATGATAAATTTTTCAGAGAGAAAAATGCAAAATCCTCATTTCGACCATGCAAAAGCGGCCGAAATTGTAAATGAAGTAGAATAATCAAAAGTTCTTGGATACTTATTTGAAAGAGATAGAATGGACAGTGAAAACGATGAGGAACAAGCAATCAAAGTCACAATTTCATCAAAGACTTTTTCTAAACCCCATTTGTCTGTAAGTTCAGACGAAATCTCTAGCCTTTTCAATCATTGTAGGCGAAAAAATTTTATTCGATGGTCTAAAATTGGCAAAAGTCATGTTTGTTTTTAAGTGAGGAAGAAAAAATCATGAAAAAAATAAAGAAATTAGTTTACTATGTTCAGTGAGCAGGTTGAAAGAATCATTTTTAATAAGGAAACCAAATTTGCAAAAACGCACAACTTCATACATGGAACGCTTCGAATTAAATCGACGGATAAACATTAGAGAGAGAGAGAGAGAGAGAGAGAGAGAGAAGAGAGAGATGATCTATTCTTGCTACTCCTGTAAAATGGTCTCGAAGGAAAAAAATCATTCAGACTAAGTTCTCGACACTGAAAGTTTGTCAACACAAAAATTTTCGAAACAATTTTTGATCTAAAATATGAGTGTCTAGTTTGTCCGGAAAAAACACATAAAGTCAAAAATGTCCTTGTTTTGTTCTTCTGTGCATTAAAATAGCTGTAAATTGTTTTTAAGGCCTTATTTTGCAAGTTTTGACCAAACAGTTTTTATACAGTTTGTCTAGAATCAACACAAAAAATTTCGAAACAATTTTTGATCTAAAATATGAGTGCCTAGTTTGTCCGGAAAAAACACATAAAGTCAAAAATGTCCTTGTTTCGGTCTTCTGTGCATTAAAATAGCTGTAAATTGGTTTTAAGGCCTTATTTCGCCTTAACCAAGCTAAGTAGTTTTTTGCTCCACAGTTTCTTCGAGATTTATCCAATACACGGCTGATAAAAGAAAAATATTATTCGTTGCGTATTGATCAAACCATAAAACTTAACCTCCTGCTTAACAAAAACTCAAAAACCAGAGGGTAATCTCATTTGAAAAACTACAGGTTTAAAAAACTCCTTTCTGATAATCCATCACTAATATGGATGCGATATTAATTTTGCTAACAAAAAGCCCAAAATCATGAAAAAAAAACTTTTCAATACGAGAAAGATTTAGTTATCAAGATTAGAGTTGAATGAAAACAGATGCGAACATCGAAATTAGCAAAAACGATGCTATCATGGCGCCTTGCTTTTATCGCTTTTCACGCATATTAATACCCTTAGATATCAGCTGGAGCTAGACCATATGCTCGGTAAGTTTTGCTAAAATTTTCGCCAATGTGTGAATTTTAATTTTGGAAAAGCACTATGCAAGCAAGTTTGTGGCGTGCAGTTGTAAATTTCTAAATTAAAAAAAGCAGATGTTTTCCTGTTGAAACAAAAAAACTTTGATTTGCTGAAAAATTGAAAACTTATAAATTCGCAGAATCGTTTTTTTTTGCAAATAAAAAGTTATTTGACAGATAAGTGAATAAAAGCGGGCTTAATTTTGTCCAGCAAAAAAAAATTATCAGTTTTAGATTTATACACGACATACTTCGAATTCAACCAAATAATTTATGAGTGAATTATCCAATCCTACAATTTTTGGTTGCAATCACCAGCGGATTTAGGGGAGAGGGGGTGGACGCCCTGCCGAATGCTGATTATACTAAAATCTGATGAAAAATCTCTGCTTTTGACTTTTTCAATTGCTCCTCGGAATAAGGGAGGATATGGTTGCATACGATCGGTTTGCGTGTCTAACTGGTAAAAGCGAAAGCATGAAAATCTTTGGCAAACTTTCATCTGATTGTTCAATTTTTGGTACCTCAGTTCAAATTACCTTATTTGTAAGTCATGTATTTGTTATTTTGTAAGTAATGGTTTTGCTAACAAAGTTACTTTCATGAAATCACCAACAAGAATGGAAGTTAAACAAAAACTGAAGTCAACATCGAAATAAAAAAAGACCTTAAAGTTAACGGCGTTCGATTCACGAGTGAAAGGACTTTACTTTGATATATTGCTCAATATTTTCTGATGACTGCTTAGGG